ACAGAAGTGTTATGGTGCAGAAATGGCCATCAGCCCATCAATGCTCATGATGGGAGTTCTTCAAAACAATGGGGTTGGAGAAGACAGTTTTTTTTGTGTGTGTGTGTGTGTGTGCGTGTGTGTGGGGTGGGGGCAGGCGGGGAGGGGAGGAGGAGCTAACTACAGATTCTGTATGGAATAACTCCCTGACCTTTATGCCATTGATCTTCTACAGTGTTCTAATTAAACTCCTTGTAAGCTCTAGGAACAATACCTACTCTTTCAACTGGGAACTTTATAGCCTACCTGACTTAATACAGTTTGACAATTTTAGATTATAATCTCTACCTCTACTTTGTTTGTTTTCTTGGTTATTTTCTTTCATTCTTCTCATATTTCCTTTTAATTTGCTTTTGAATGGCAGCTATTCAGGATTCCGTTATTTACATCTCCTCAAGACAGACGTTATGTTTTTTTTAACATAGTCCATTACCACTCTCCTTGGCCTTGCAATGTGAAAATTTTGCACATTTAATCTCTCTTGTTTTCTACTCCAACATAGGCCTTCCCTTTTGATCTCCCCGTCTTCCATCCTTTTACTTGTTCAAACTATTGCATTTCCAACTTTTACCGGTTTTCATGAAACATCACAAACCTGAATGAATTTTTAATTCTGATTCTATCTCCACAGATGCTGTAAGACCTACTGAGTATTTGCAGCATTTTCTGTTTGTACTTCAGATTTCCAGCACTTGTTGACTTCTGGTTAACAATTCCATCCAAATTGTCACAATGATACAAACTAGAATAATAGTGGGATATTAACTGATTCCAGAATGAAGAATCCCTTCTGTAGAAAAATATTTTGCTTCCTGTGGTGCTCAGGTGGAAATATGGTCTCATATTATGTTTTCATGTCACTCCTGGCTTGAATCAATAAACTCTGCAGATAAGAAATCATACACGTACCCTATTGCTACCAATCTGAGCTATTATATTCACTAAATTTTAACGGTGAATGTTATTCTTTGAAAGAGATGCTGTCCATTTGAAAATCAGTGGCACCACTGTCGCTGCAGAATCAGAAAACTACATTTTTAAGCCTCATTCCACTATCTAAGTATATAACTTAGGATGACATTCTGCTGCACAACTGAGATGTCATCTTTCAGAGACCTTTAACTGGGCCAAAATAGCTCCTAGAATAAATGTAACAGATTTAAAGGCACCACTCACAAAGGTACAAGAATGATCCTGGAGCTCTAATCAACATTTATCCCTTTAAGAACATATTATCTGGTCCTTTTGTCTCTCTGATAGTTGCTGAACCTTGCTGTGAATTAATTGGCTGCTCTTTTCCCCTGAATTACATCAGTAACTTTATTCCCAGCTTGGCAGTTAAGGATATCTTACGGATATGACAGGTACAATGTTAATGCCATTACCGTTTTTGTTTATGAACTGCTGAGAAAAACAGTAACTGGACTTTCATACAAACAAAAAGGCCAATCATTTCAGCAAAATGGCAATTTTTGCATTGGATACATGACATGCTGCACTGAAGTAACATTAAATCTACATGAAAATGATAACAACAACTTGCATTTACATAACGCCTCTAACACAGTAAAATGTCCCCAATTCTTCAGAACAGCTTCATCAAAATATGTTTGACACCAAATCACAAAGACATATACAAGGCTGATCAAAAGCTTGGTTAAATGCGTAGATTTTAAGGAACATTAGAATGGGAATGGGTAGAAGGAAAAAAAAATCCTCCCATTTTTATATTTTGTCCTGGGTTTTATTTTAAATTGCAAGGTCAGATTTGGTATTTAATGCTTTTATTCACACAGTGATGCCAAGCTTTAACTCCATGCAGCACTCAGTGGGGAAAGAGAAGATTGTCCTTGGGACCTCCTGCGTATGCCTTTGCACAAAATGAAACCCCTTGTGTAATGCTCCAATATAAGAAATAAATTACATGCACTGTGATTGTGCCAAAGCACAACACTTTGGTCAATAGTTTCCTCACAGAATTTCATAAGCCAGGAAGAACAAAATTAATGAGGAGATATGGATGACGTACTTTATTGCTAATATGATACTTAATGTATTTACAATTAAGTGGAGTTGCTTCATGTACCATTTTATCTATTATCTTCAGCACTTTATATATGGTTTAACCTTTTGTTGAAATATAAGGGAGGGTATAACGCCAATTTAACGATACGTAAAGCATACGAGTCTGACGGGATCATCTGTGATTACAGAAAGATCAGCCTGCCGCTCAGCTTGGATAGTATAACCAAGACATTTGTCCTTTGACACCTCAGCAAATCAGGAAAGCTCTGAACCAATTCAGCAGATGTTCAGCTTAACTTCAGATATAAACACAAAATTAATCTTATTTAGTTTTACATTTCCACCAAATATCTTGCTGCAGAAAGATTTGCCATCACTATGATGAAAGACACTTAAATCAATTTGAAAGTATTGTGTATATTATTGGTAAGAGGAAAGTTTAATCTGAAGAAGGGTCACTCGACCCAAAATGTTAACTCTGATTTCTCTCCATAGATGCTGCCAGACATGCTGAGCTTTTCCAGCAATTTCTGCTTTTGCTTCTGATTTACAACATCTGCAGTTCTTTCGGGTTTTTTTAAAGTTTAATCTACATTTGAAGAACAGGTGAAAGCTGAAGTCATTTACACTGAAAGCACAGGATCACCATTGAAGTGTAATGGTGTTTATTTGTCACTTAAGATTTGAGTTAAAAACATCACTTTCAAATTCAGCCATCATACTTGATTTGACAAAAGTAGCACATAGCATGATCACTGAATATGCTTAAGACTGAATTGCACTGATTGTTGACTGTCAGACAGTAAATAGTATTGGGGATAGACGGGAAAGAACATTTGAGGCCACAATCCAATCAGACATGATCTGATGTGATCAATGGCTGAAAGGCCTACTCTTATTTTTGGTCTAGAGTCATAGAGTCATACAGCACAGAGACAGACCCGTCGGTCTAACATGTCCATGCTGATCAGGTTTACCAAACTAAACTAGTCCCATTTGCCCGTGTTTGGCCCCTATCCCTCTCAACCATTCCTATTCATATACCTGTCTAAATGACTTTTAAATGTTGTAAAGGTATCTGCATCTGCCACTTCCTCTGGCAGTTCATTCCATAAATACACCACCCTCTATGTGAAAAAGTTGCCTCTTGGGTTCCCTTTTAAGTTTTTCCCCACTCACCTTAAACCTATGCCCTAGTTTTGAACTCTCCTACCAGAGGGAAAAGACTTTTGCTATTCACCTTATCTATGCCTCATGATTTTATAAACCTCTACAAGGTCATCCCTCAGCCTCTTATGCTCCAGGGAAAAGAAAGTTCCAGCCTCTCCTTATACCTCAAATTATATGCTTGGATCTAAAATAACACAATCGTAGCAGGCCACTGCTAGAAAGAGCTACCATTTGCTGTAATTCATGAGCCATGCGTGCTTGCACTCTTGTGTCTGAAGCAGAAGGCTGTGGGTTGAAGTTGCATTCCAGGGACCTGACTGTAAAAAAAACCAAGGCTAACACTCCAGGACAATACTGAGGGAATACTGCACCATCGAATGCTCCGGCTTTTAGGTGACATATTGGACAGAGGTTCCATCTGTTCTTTCAGAGGAATGTAAAAGATCCAAGAGAACTGTTTTGAGGAAGAGCAGAGGAGTGTTATCTCTGGTACAGAAGCAAAATACTGCACTTTTTGGAAGTCAGAAACAAAAACAAAACAAAAAGCTGGAAATTATCGGGAAGTTAGGCTGTACTTCTAGAGAGAAACAAGTTAAACATTTCAGTTAATATTAAGCTAGTTCTGATGAAAGATCATCCATCTGAAACATGAACCCTATTTTGGTCCATAGAAGATACTTGATCTGCTGAGCATTTCTTATATTTTTGGTTTTATTAAGTTACACCTGGTGTCTTGCCAATATTTATCTCTCAATCAACGTTCCTTAAAAAATCAGGTTATCTGATCTTTATCACATTGGTGTTTATGCAATTTTGCTTCAATGCTTTGTTTCTTACAACAGTATCTACACTTCAAAATTAGCTCGTGCAGCATTTTGAGGAACAAAGCCATCCTGAAAGGCACTAGCGAAATGCAATATCTCATTTATCTTTTACAATGTTCAATGTAGAATAAATGAAATGTATAAACTGAAGGTTGGAAAAAAGTTTGCAGATCCTCAAAGTAAACTATGAATTTTGACAGATCACAGGGATGAGTTGATTGATTACGAAGCACTGATATTGAAATGTAAGAAATTATCTTTTGCTACTTTATACATTAGTTCAATTTAATTAAATGCAAACTTTGCTTGCAGAAGACAAGAATGATGGAAATATACATCATCTCCAAATACCATTTTTCCATTTAATTTGACAGCATCACATTTTGGCCTTGTATTGTGATGTTGATATCCCTCAACCTTGGCACCTTACTAGAGAGGTGGCCAAATCCACATTGTCAATATGCCATTGTTTTCCACATAAAATGAGAACTTTATTTTACAGCCTATAAGTAACCTAAACAGATACGATTTACAAAAAATCAGGCTGGGAAACTCCTCTATGCTGAAATGAGCTTTACACAGAACACTTAGAAATAGCTGCGCTGTGATATTTATTGCAGTGTTAGACAATCAACTATATTTGCATTAATTCTTGGTACGTCACAGAATACAATCCATATATGATTCAATATATGAGACCAGATTGCCTAAATTGTAAATTTGTCTCAGGAAAACAGACACAAAAATGATCAACAGTAATTTAAATTATTCATTTGCAACAGGCTGGTGTTACGATTGTTGAAATTACTAACCCAAAACACATTCTTTTTATCTGAATGACAGAGGGTAAACAAGGCCTGCATTCATATAAAAAAAACTGTACCTGTTTTGTGTCTGTATTCTTACCTGGAAACATGCAGTATTTTGCTGCAGATACACTAATATGATTCAGGTTGATTCCTATGCAATAGACAGAACACAGAAACATTTGATCTTAGACGGTTGGTATGGGGAGTGGGCCACCAAATTGAGTCCTGACTTACTACGTGGATCGATTCTTGATGAGAGGGGTTCTTTTAATATTTGCAGAATATGACCGTGTAGTATTGCACAAGAGATATTTTATGCAGACATCTTTGCTACCTAGATCAGGCACATTTTGGTCACTCCTAATGCACAAACTTTTATAGGTTAGCCAGTGTGCATGCCCAAAACTTTTATTTATGAAGCTCAATGTTAAATCACAACAGACCTTATTTTCTTGCTGTCTCGGAGGTTATCAAAACAGATAAACTATTTGATAACCCGTAGCAACACAGTCTTACCTTGTTGGAGGCCATCTCACTGACAGAATTCCTGGTCTGCAGAGTCTCCAGCTGGTCCAGGCACCAGTCAAGCTCCTCCAGGGTCTCTGTTGCAAGTTTTTGGTAGGCCTCTTCTGCGAATAGACAGATGAATGGGAGTTCAGCTTTTGAACTTTTTACAGGGCTAGCAGTGATATTGTAAGGGTCCACCATGCCACACAAAGCCATGTTCGAATGACCAGAGCTCACACATGAGTTGTCCTTCATAATGTTTTCTCAACAACAAAAAAAACCTCTGAAAAATATCTCCCTTCTGTCGTCAAACCAAAGCAGCCACAATAGTTTGGTGATCTTCTTCTGGAGGAGAGGGAACACACAGTTGTACAGCCGTCAGTCAGAAACACAACATGATGAATGAAGAATTCTCTCTTTGTCCACCTTTCAGTCTACTGGTATTATTAAACCCAGAAATGAACACACTTATGCAGTCTGCAGAATATTTTCCAGAAAGTAGTAAAAGCCTTTATCCTGAGCCAGGTAGTTGAGTCAGTTTCCCACTGCCCATGAAAATCTCTCCATGACGATCTCAATATTTTTTCTAACCACACCAGTACTACACAGCTGGATGGATAAAGCCGTTTGGACGAACCAGTAAGTCCTCTCAATAGTCACTCATACAATGTACATTTCAGTTCGAACAAATAAGAAGAAAGAGGGTTTCCTGGTTTTGCTCAGTTTATGACATCTAAACTGTCACATCATTTTATGAAAATCTAATCATTTCCATCTTCCTAGCACTTCAGTCAGTTAGTGAACTCTTATGTGGCATCACACATTTAACAAAGTCTGACTCTTTCTTTGAACCACAACCAAAAGCGCTAGTACACTGTACAAGCAAGGGCCAGGCTGAACAGAAATCCTGGCGTAGATCTCCACAGAGGATCAGGACCTGGAAATGCTCCAGTGAGAGGTGTGGAAATAAAAAGAGATCAGGTTTCTATGAAATTACTTTCAATAAGAATTCAGGCATCAAACAGAGGATCAGTTTCCGAACATTCTATTTATTCTTGCTTTTTTGCATTGCGTAGAATTTGGAGAAATAATTTGCATGGGCAGAGGGCACATGCAAGAAAATCTTCACATTACCAAATAAAAGTTTACTTGGACGTGGCTCTGGGTCAGTGGTTCCATACTAGGAAATACGATTTTTAATCAAAAAGATGTTTAAATTTAAACTTCAATTTATATTTAACATGGTGAGGCTATAGCTACAGTGCATCTTGCATTACTCTAAAGCACAAAGTGTTTTGCAACAACACGAGATTTACAATATAGCTGTATTATCGGACTGCTTCCCCTGATTGAACGTTTGGAACTAAGAATGGGCTAGGCATCCTGTAACCTCCCAGTATTACTTCATCTTACTTACAGAGCAGGCAATGGCCTAGTGGTAATATCGCTGAACTGTTAATCCAGACACTCACATAATGTCCTAGGGATCTGGGTTTGAATCCTGCCACGGCAGACAGTGGAATTTGAATTCAATAAATATCTAGAATTAAGAGTCTAGTGAGGACTGTGAATGCGTTGTCAATTGTTGAAAAACCTCATCTGGTTCACTAATGTCCTTAAGGGAGGGAAACTGCCATCCTCACCTGGTCTGGACCACATGTGACTCCAGAAACACCAGCAGAGTGGTTGACTCTTAACTGCTGTTGGGACAATTAGGGACGGGCAGTAAATACTGACCCAGCCAGAGAACCCTCGTCTCATGAATAAATAAAAAAAATTAAGAATAAGCAGATTTGCTGAGTCCCAGCCGAAAGGCTGAGAATCCAAGAAGAAAAATTAGAAATTGCTGGAAATCTCAGCAGGTCTGGCAGCATCTGTGAACTGAAGGGGGGTCACTGGACCCAAAACGTTAACTCTGCTTTGTTTCCATGGATACTGCCTGACCTGTGAAGTTTTTCTCCCTGCAATTTCTGATGTTGTTTCTGATTTCCAGTATCTGCATTTCTTTGGCGTTTGGGGCTTTTGAATTGCAGCATCTGCTTGCTCCAAATAAGGTTATCGAGTGAAAGGTGTCAAATATTTAATTTGCCAAGAGCTTCCATATTCTGGTCCTCACATAAGGTCAAAACAGATAGATCTGGCATACCATTGGCTGCTTGTGGAACCCAGCCCAAAGTAACTGGATTGATTGCTGCCGGGACTACTGGAGAAAGAAGAATGTCAAATTTGCAGAAAACATTTCAGAAGTAATTTCCAGGAGAAACCTGACAAAGCTCCCAGCTCCTTTACCACAGCTCCCAAGGTAGTCACTGGCCTAGTGGTCCTTGGCAGATGCTCTTGCTCGATCACCAGAGACATCAGTGTTTACCATGACTTTTTTAATGAACAGGCCCCCTCCAAACCTTATAAAATATTGGCGCTAGCACCAGAGGTCCTGTGGAGGATCAGTTTCTGACAATGTTCAAGACAGAGATTGACAGATTTCAGGATATGAAGGACATTGAGGGAATACGTGAATTGCATTGGAAAATGGGGCTGAAGTAGAAAATGAGCCATGACCTTGTTGAATGATGGAATAGATTTGAGATGCCATATAGCCTAGTTCTGCTTGTATTTCCTACATTCCTATTAACATTGGGCTGACAAGTGGCAAGTAACATTCTCAGTACACAAATGCCAGGCAATGACCATCTCAAACAAGAGACAATCTAACCACTGGTCCTTGACATTTAATGATGTTACCATCACTGAATCCTCAATCATCAACATCCTGGGGATTATCATTGACCAGAAACTCAACTGGACTCGCCATATATAAACATTGGCTACAAGAGCAGGTCAGAAACTAGGAATACTGCAGCGAATAACTCACCTCCTGACTCCCCAAGGCCTGTCACCATAAACAAGGCACGAGTCAGGAGTGTGATGGAATACTCCCCACTTGCCTGGATGAGTGCAGCTCCTACAACACTCTAGAAGTTTGACATCATTCAGGACAGGGCAGCCTACTTAGCTAGCAGCACAACCATACGCATCCACTTCCTCCAACAACAACACTCAATAGCTATGTACTATCTACAGAATGCACTGCAGAAATTCACATAAAGATCCTTAGATAGCACCTTCCAAACCCATGACTACTTCCATCGAGAAGGATAGAGCAGCAGATATAAGGTAACACGACCACCTGCAAATACTCCTCCAAGTCACTGACTTTCCAACTTAGAAATATATTACCATTCCTTCAGTGTTACTGGGTCAAAATCTTGGAATTCCCTCCCTAAGGGTGTTCCATCCGACAACATATGGACTGGAGTGGTTCAAGAATGTAGCTCACTACCACATTCTGAACAGCAACTATTTTTTTCCTATTCATTTGTGGAATGTGGGTGTCGCTGGCTGGCTAGCATTTCTCGCCCATCCCTACTTGCCCTTGAGGAGGTGGTGGTGAGCTGCCTTCTTGAACCACTGCAGTCCACCTGACTCACGATGTCATTAGGGAGGGAATTCCAGGATTTTGACCCAGCAACAGCGAAGGAACAGCAATATATTTCAGAGTCAGGACGGTGAGTGGCTCAGAGGGGAACTTGCAGGTGGTGGTGTTCCCATACGTCTGCTACCCTTGTCCTTCTAGATGGAAGTGGTTGCGGGTTTGGAAGGTGCTGTCTGAGGATCTTTGGTGAATTTCTGCGGTACATCCCGTAGATAGTACACACTGCTGCTACTGAGTGCAGTGGTGGAGGGCATGGATGCTTGTGGATGTAGTGCCAACTAAGTAGGCTGCCCTGTCCTGAATGATGTAAACTTCTAGAGTGTTGTAGGAGCTGCACCCATTCCAGGCAAGGTATTCCATCACACTCCTGACTTGCGCCTTGTAGATGGTGGGCAGGCTTTGAGGAGTCAGGAGGTGAGTTACTCGCCGCAGTATTCCCAGCTTCTGACCTGCTCTTGTAGCCACTGTGTTTATGTGGTGAGTCCAGTTGAGTTTCTGGTCAATGCTAACCTCCAAGATGTTGATAGTGGGGGATTCAGTGATGGTAACAAAGTTGAATGCCAAGGGGTGATGATTAGATTGTCTCTTATTAGTGATGGTCATAGCCTGGCATTTGTGTGGCACAAAAGTCACCTGCCACTTGTTAGCCCAAGCCTGGATATTGTACAGATCTTGTGAACATGGACTGCTTCAGTATCCGAGGAGTCACAAATGATGCTGAACATTATGCAATCATCAGCGAACATCCCCACTTCTGATTTTATGGCGGATGAAAGGTCTTTGATGAAGCAGCTGAAGATGGTTGGGCCAAGGACACTACCCTGAGGAACTCCTGCAGAAATGTCTTGGAGCTGAGATGATTGACCTCCAACGAACATGACCATCTTCCTATGTGTCAGGTATGACTCCAACCACCAGAGAGTTTGCCCCCCCCAATACCCATTGATTCCAGTTTTGCTAGGGCTCCTTGATGCCACACTCATTTGAATGCAGCCTTGATGTCAAAGGCTGTCACTTTCACCTCACCTCTGGAATTCAGCTCTTTTGTCCATGCTTGAACCAACGCTGTAATGAGGTCAGGAGCTGAGTGGCCCTGGCAGAACCCAAACTGGGCGTCACTGAGCAGGTTATTGCTGAGCAGGTGCTGCTTGATAGCACTGTTGATGTCACCTTCCATCACTTTACTGATGATCGAGAGTAAACTGATGGGGCTGTAATTGTCGGATTGGATTTGTCCTACTTTTTACGTACAGGACATACTTGGGCAATTTTCAACATTGTCAGTGGTGTAGATCCCAGTGTTGTAACTGTGCTGGAACAGCTTGCTTACGGGAGCGGCAAGGTCTGGAGCACAAGTCTTCAGTACTATTGCCAGAATGTTGTCAGGGCCCGCAGCCTTTGCATTATCCAGTGTCTCCAACCATTTCCTGATATCACACGGAGTGAATCTAATTGGCTGAAGACTGGTATCTGTAATGCTAGGGCTCACTGAAGGAGGCTGAGATGGATCATCACTTCTGGCTGAAGATTGCTGCGAATACTTCAGCCTTATCTTTTGCAGCGATGTGCTGGGCTCTTCCATCATTGAGGATGGGGATATTTGTGGAGCCTCCTCCTCCAGTGACTTGT